TGCCTTACGAGCTGAAAGCTTAACTTCGCCGATTATATAAAAGCACTAGGACACCTCAAATATTGTTGTAGCATGTATATTATAGTATACGTATATGCTTTGGGCTTCGTTGACAAGCGAATCGCTAACCACATACTAGTACTAGTATTTGGACCTCGATGGAGAGGGGTGTACATTGGTACTTACGTTAGCGGGTATGCTTTCAAGCTTGTCGTTGGTGATCAGTAGGCGCCTTGGTGGTCGTGGTGACGGGACCAACAGTGACACAAGTAGTGATGAGGTCAACGTGACGAAAAGTGTGGCGCAGGTCGCGAAGGGGGCACGCGGTCACGGGGCTGCGAGAGGTCGTGATGGGGGAACAGTGGACGTGATCAAGGGGGCAGTAGTCGTGGTCGTGGTGGTAGTGGTGGCATTGCCACCATCGCGACGAACATCAAGGCGTTCGGGTGTTGCTGCGTTGTCACTCCAGCTGTCGGCAAAATCGTACGTAACATGGCGTATTACTTTGCCAGCAACTGGAGTGATAACACGGCAACACCCGCAAAGTCTTGTGTACGTCATGATTTTGATGCGGCCCAGATGCTGCAGATGATGCCAAAGGCTGCGTGGCTGTAGTTGGTCGGGCCAGCGAGGGCCGCCACGCTTAACTCGACCTTGAACGGTACTTCTTCAACTCGTCTCAGCAGCAACACGTAGTTCGTGACGTCGTCGGGGAGATGGGAGACCGGAGGCATGTCGTTGCCGTCTTTCATGGGGTGTTCCCAGGCCATTCTCGATAAAGTCGAAACCCAAACAAACTCAAGCTTCGCAATTATTCCAGTTTTACCTGAAGCCAAAGATATCTCGTGCATTTGCAGGGAAGTGCTAGAGGCTATGTGTGTTGGAGATGCAAAAAGAAGTAGTTGCATCACCACTCACAGTCCTCATCGTTTAGATCGATACAGTCGCATCGGTGGGCAATCCCAACATAGTCAACACATATCATGCCCTTCTGTAGCACCCTTCTACAATAATTCAACATCACAACACCTAATTGCATACCCTCTCTCAATGTGAACAATGCAGTAGAACATTAACATTAGGGAGTACTAGTATGCAAGTAGGTGCTATTATTGTGGCGGGATGTACAGAAGGGGTGCGCTGGCATTCCACTACGGTAGTACATAACATTAGGGTGTGCCATCGCTACAACATAAGCTATCTACATTGTAAGCCAGTTCAAAATGTCGTGACTGGCGCCTGTAGCCTCTACTTTCACGATGTACGTGTGGAAATCCTATTCCATGCCGCTGG